AAAAGCCATTTAATATATTTAAACAAATAGTAACGAAAGAACTAATATTATTAATATTTGATTCTGAAAAGCCAATTATAATGGAAACGGATTCCTCAGATTTTATTATAGATATAGTTTTGAGTCAACTAGGCTAGAATAAGAAATAACAATTAATTATATTCTATTCTCGAAAACTATTATTAGTCGAATTAAATTACGAAATATATAATAAAGAATTATTGATAATAATTAATACATTTAAAGAATAGCAAGTTTATTTGAAAGGATTAAAATATTCAATATAAGTATATATAGATTATAAAAACTTAATTTACTTTATTATAATGAAATAGTTAAATAGACGATAGGTTAAATGGTTGAAGATTATAACCAATTATAATTTCAAGATCTTATATATTAAAGGATCAAAATACACTAAAGTCAATGTTTTTAATTGAAAACTAGAATATCAAGAAAATAAGTTATATAAGTTATATACAATATTCAAGAAAAAAGGCGAATCACTAATTTACAATGTATTATAACTTATAGCTACTTATATATTGAAAGATAATTATCTTAGAAACCAAATCCAATTATATTATAACAAGAATGCTATAGTTATACACATATATAAGATAATAGAAAATGAAATTATATACTTTTATAAGAAAGTATACATTTTGAGTCAAATAATTAAGGAATTTATAATAAAATAATATAAATTATTAACATACAAATATTAAAGGATTACAAGAACATTTATAAGAATCTAGGAAATTAGTTATTTCTTATAAATGAGAACGATAATTGAAGAAATTATTGGAAATTATAATACTTGTATATATAATAAGTTATTACAATATGTCCTATATAATTAGCTCCAGATCTCAAATATACCTTCTCAATTATGGAAATCTATTATATAGAACTTTATAATTAAATTACTATTCTCAAAAGATTCTATTATAAAAATCAAATATAATATAATACTCAATATAATAAACAAACTAATCAAATTTATATATATAATATTATTCAAAAAAACATAAGATATTAAACAGTTAATATATATATTTCTTAGGATTATAATAAGTATATATAGAATATTAGATGAGATAATCTCGAATTGAGATAAACTCTTTACCTTGAAATTCTGGGCTACCTTATTAATACTTATAAATATTAAGAGAAAGCTATTGATAGCCTTTTATTTACAAATAAATAATCAAATAGAAAGGATTAATTAAATAATAAAAATATATCTTAAATACTATATAAATTATTAACAAAACAATTAAATAGAATTATTATTTATAATATAGTTTATATATAATATATTGAAAATGAAAACTATAAAAATAATATTAGTATATATCAACTTTAAGTTCAATTCTAAAGTATATTAAATATTAATACTATAAAAAGTTAATACTAAATCGATAATAATATAAGTCGAATAATTAAAAGATTTATAAAAGTAACTTACTTTTAATCTAAGATTTATTTCTTTTAAAATAATAATCTATTATAATACAAAATGTAATATAAAATCTATATTTAAAAAGGGAAATAAAGTTTATTTATTATAACGAAATATCAAAACTAAAAGACTAAATAATAAACTCGATTACAAGAAACTAAAATTATTTAAGATTGATAAGGTAATAGGAACAATTAATTATTAATTGAAATTATCAAATATAATAAATATTTATTTAGTATTTCATATATCCTTGCTCAAATTAGCATTATTAGAAATATTTAATACATTATTCATAGAAATCGAACCAGTTAACCTAGAAGTTATATACAATATTGAAACAATACTAGATTGTAAATATATTAGAGACAAGGTTAAATATTTAATTAAATAATTAGACTATTTATATTCGGAAAATATATAGGAACTCAAGAAGAATCTCAACTGTTCTAAGAAACTATAGGTATTCCACCTAAAGTACTCATATCTACTAATAAAACTTCAAACTCAGTATTAGATAGTGGAGGTAACAAAGAATTGAAGAAATTGAAAGAAAAGAAACCATTAAAAATGAGTATAGTGGTATCAATAGTTTCCTTTTCCATACACTCCTTTTCCAATTTTTCCTTCTCTTCTTCCTCTACTAATTCATTGAAAATCTGTAAATCATAACAAAGCATTTCGAATTTACACTTCAACAAAAAACACTTCTGTTTTTATAACCATAAAATTTTAATTATAATCTCTTCCTCTTCTTAATCCAATCTCTTCTTTTATTAGGATAAACTTTTCTAATTACTTTCAAACAGACCTTGAACATCGCATTTCTTACTACTACGAATGTATTCATTGTACTACAATAAATCAAAAGATGAAATAATACATTTATGATTAGTACATTTATACAACGAATATAAGGACATTTCGAAACCTTTTTGTTCAACAAAACGAGCAAGATGGATTTGTTTTTTTCTTTTGTTAGTATTTAAAGGAGATATAATGAAAAAGAAAAGAAGCATTATAATCATTAAGTAGATGAAAAGGAAGACATATTAATATAAACGTTTAGAACAAATGTTAGATTAAAAAGGGGATAGTGTTACAACGGGTTAGTAATAGATTATAGAATTATTAATGTATAGGCTATAATGATATTATAAACCTCAGTGATTCAGCTATAGTATATCAAAGGATGTTAGGCATTTAGGAGAGCCTTAGATATATATATAATATTAGTTATAGGATACCTTAGAAATATAGGATATAGTTCTTAAGATAATAGGTTCTAGGAAAAACAGAACATAATAAGCAAAAAGGTTTCATTAAGATTAATAATGTTTTAAAGGATTAATTTAGAACAAAAGAATAAGTTAGAATATTAAGAGTTACAGGATTAATGTTCTATAATAAACAATTCAAAAACAATAATACTCTAAAAGTGCCTAACTATTTCAATTATTCAAGAAGAATGAAGATCTATATAAGGGAATGGGTTTCATTATAATATAGAGCTTTATACTTAAGAATAATCATTAATTTTATTATTATAATTATAATCAATTACAACCTTATTGAATTCCTATTTGAAGTTTAATTTAAACCACTTCGAGAGATCTCTAGTCACTTCTACGTAACCCTAGAGGCAGCTCCCGTAACAAAAAAGTAGCTCAAAAGGAGAATGGCCCGAAAGTGTTACGGAGGTACCCGCACCGCAACATGGATTATAAGATAAACCTAAGGCCTTGGTGTTGGAACCTACGAAAACAGCACTGTAGGGACAGTTGGATTAAAGGGTAACGAAAGATAGCGGTAACCGAATCAATAAGCAATGATTAAAAGATAGGTACCTATCTTTTGTTGGCACCTACCCTACAGTAGGCACAGGAGGGATAGCGGTACAGGTTATCTAGTAAGCACAGGTTAGATAAGCAGTAGTATCATGTAGGTCACGGGGCAAGTGTCACGTGATGGATAGACAGTCTACCCAAGCTATCCAGACGAGAACGAAGGTCTATATAAGGGAATGGGTTTCATTACAATGTAGAGCTTCGTGCTCAAGAACAATCATTAGTTTCATTACTATAGTTACGAGAATTGCAACCAGTTACAACCTTATTGAATTCCTACTTGAAGTCTAGTCTAAACCACCTCGAGAGATCTCTAGACACTTCCACGTGACCCTAGAGGCAGCTCCCGTAACAGAAAGTAGGGTACCCGACTTATAGTTCTTTAAGTTTATAATAAGATAAGTAAATAGTTTAATATAAAAGTTATAGGAATTGAATATTTATTAATAAATTAATAATAATAAACAATAAATAATAAACAATAAATAAGAAATAATAAATAATAAATAATAAATAATAAATAAAAAATAAAAAATAAAAAATAAAAAATAAAAAATAAAAAATAAAAAATAAAAAATAAAAAATAAAAAATAAAAAATAAAAAATAAAAAATAAAAAATAAAAAATAAAAAATAAAAATAAAAAATAAAAAATAAAAAATAAAAAATAAAAAATAAAAAATGAATTAATAAGAATAAACAAATAATAAATGAAGAAACGAAAAATTAAAATATTTTATTAAAGTTTAATTTTATAATTTTAAATTTATATATGTAGATTTATCTGTAATTTGAGAATATATTTAATTATCGAATCATTTAATTTGAATTATTAATTTATTATAATGAAAATTGAACAATTCAATTCGAATTATTTGTATTATAATAATAATTGAAAAAAATTAGATTGATTTATAAACAATAATATATAGATAAAACTTGTATATACTTTTCTATCAAATAGTATAAACTGTAGTTTAATAGATGAGAAAAAATCTATAGCTATTCTATGAAAAACGAGATGATTGCTAACAATCTAAACTATAGTTCAGTAGTAGAATTCTTGCTTTGGTTTATGTATGGTGCATATTTGTAAGAGGTCTTTAGTTCGCTCCCTTTTTGTTTATCTCTTTTGCTTGCTTTTACTTGTTTTTTGGGGGTGGGTTGGGGATTGGGGAGGGTGGAAGAGGGCAGGAAGAGGAGAATATGAAGTTCATGGATGGATGGATAGATGGATGGGCTTTTCTCCTTACCTTCTTCCGCTTTTGATTTTTGATGGAGAGAGTGTGTGTGTATTGAGTGAATGTGGATTTTGAATTGGTGTATAGAGAAAGAGAGAGAGAGATAGGTAGGTAGGTCGGTAGAGATAGAACATCTGATTTGGGGAGATGGGAAGAGGAAGATAATAAAATAAAATAGCATTAGTTGAAGAAATATCACTGGGAGTTACGAAGAGAAGTCGGTTATGGGGTGATAATATGATGGTATTCGGTATGAAACATTCACTCACATTTAAAATGGATACCAAACAAGTTCTCTATAAGCTTGGCGAGTATAGAGAAATGTAAATGGACAACGAGATATCATACTATGTTACCCCATCTCATTCGATACATTACGAAGAAAATAAAAATTACAGAAGCATAACAAACAACAAGATAAACAGACAAACCGCACATCCGCAAACCCTCACACATAATCCTCATGCCAATCATCTTCCTCCACATCCTCCCCCTTCTTTCCCTTAAGGTCCTCAGGCACTTCTTCCTCGCCCACACCCAACCTCTCACCTGTCCCCCATTGCTTCGTGAACCTATTCTCCACCAACTTCATATTCGTGATTCTCCTCGCCTCTCTTTCGCTCAACTCCTTCCAATGCCTCGATTCCCTCTGTTCCATATCACCACTCCCCGTTTTCTTCTCCCTACTCTCCTTCACCTTCGTCTCCAAATCTTCCAAATCCATCATCATATCATTCAAATGTCTCCCCTTGATTAAATGAGCACGATCGTGTTTCTTATAACTCTGTCCTGGTATTGTACCCGGCGCATTACGAATACGAGTTAAAGCGAGTGCGCGTTGAGAAATATCCGTGACTTTGTTGAGAACGGAACCGGGATGTGGATATTCTATTACTATTTCTTCATTTATCAGTTCTTTTGTAGACTTTCGCTGTTCACTTCGGAGTTTACTGTCGATGAGTTCGTTATGTCTATTTATCTTTTCAATGCGCTCTTCTCGGCTGATTTTGATTGGTTCTTTAGGAGTTGCTGTACGCCATGCGCGTAGAACAAGACGCTTCCAATCTACGGTGGAGATCTGCTCACTTAAGGGACCGGGTTGAAGGACATGATCCGAATTAACCCAGAGATCGAGTTCGGTGTCTGAAGGAAAATTACCGGCAATAAAAAGAGAGCTTTTGAGAGCATCAAGAGAACTATGTCGGAGGACCGCGCTGAAACGATAAACTTCAGTGCCAGTACGATCAGTCCTACCAGGAGGAGGTTTAATTCGTCCGGCTACACCCACTTTGACGTTCTTCTCTTCCTCTCTGAAACGATTGATGCGGGTGATCAAGCCAGAGATGGATCCCCACTGTGGAATTGATTTGTGGCGACACCAAGATCTTAAATCATCTTCTGACCACTGGGATGGTTCTGGAGCCAACTTGTGTAGAGGCGCTAGTTGCTGCTCTAAAGTGAGGCCGAATCGAGGTGAGGGCTGCCTCAATTCCTCGCCATTGATTACTCTTTCAAAGTAACGTTTAGCCGCAGCTCTGACGTCCGCCCTCTGACTAGGAGTAGTTGGAATAAGTAGTTTCAATCTTATAGCTAAACTGTCAATATCTTCATCCAAAAAGAAATCTATCAGGCCAAGGATGTACTGTGCTACAAGAACCGACTCTGGGTTTAAGCCATTGTCATGAATCTCTCCCCAAAGTTTCTCTAGTAGATGGTACTGTATTTTCCGCATGATTTTATACCCTATTTCCGTACCGTTGTCCAGTTTTGCTTGTTGTGCTGCAGCAGTTTTAGGTAACTGGAGCAACGAAAGGCCATGTTGCAAGCAATAATACCATGCTTGGATTCTTGTCCAATGGCCAATCTCATTTGCCGATGCTTGGCTAAGTGCTTTCAAAACTTTTTCTGTAAGTGTAGAATTCTCATCCACCTTATCTGCTTCAACAAATGTTCTCAAGCGTTTGCTTGGTCCTGAGAGAAAACTGTTCAAGCTTCCGCGCTTTTTGACCTTTGGACCTGATGAGAACATCTCAGAGGCTGCTGCTTTTTCTTCGGCAGCTATCTCAGCCCAAACCTCTTTCCGAGCCTCTTCCACCAATTTGTTTGGTGGAATCAGTTTTGTCGACCTAGGCTGAAAATCTGTCGTCGGACGATAGCGAACTTCGATTTGCGTCACGATTTCAGAATCATCATCTTGAATGTAACCTATATCCTCATCTAGCATTCCATCATCGTGCGTCTCGATGCTATAAGCAATTACCGTTCTGTTATCGTTCCCTGCGATGACCTTGTCTTCCCATGAGCAGGGGGTTTGTTCTCGTAGCAATCTTTCAAGCTCAGCATCGTAATTTTTATCTATTTCATTATGTAGAGTGAACGTAAAGGACTGCTTTTCTAATTTCATTTGCGCGACGATTTGGTCCTTTACGAGTCCTTGGACAGGCTGACCTGAAGAGAACTTTGTAATTCTATAGTGGCCTTTCCATCTAGGAAGTTTCGCAATCGGATCCATCCACCAATTTGCCTTCACGGAGATGGCAGCCCCGGCTTTGTCACTGTAATCCAAATTTAAGCTCTTTTTCAAGGTCGCAGCAAGTTGATGTAGAGGGACACCGCGTTGATTAGCTTCCCACCAAGTCTGCCGAAATGTATTTGAGAGATAATTGACAGGAATTGCATAGAGTTTTTCGTATAATGGCCGCTTGTGTTCTTTGTCTCTGCCAAATAATTTATTGGTTTTAAATAAAGGTTGCCAATACAACGACCACCCCAGACTACCAAACTTGGCATCTTGGTCATAAGATTCACAAAATTGAGGATGGAAACCATTAAAAATCCAGCTCACGAAAGACCTTCCTAGTTCGCTATCCACGTCTTTCTCAACGTAAGGCTCATCACCAAAAGGTGGGTTGAAAGACCGATAATCTTGAAGGAATGTTGCATGTCCAAGTTCATGAACCATTGTAACTGCCGCCATAAACTGTGCTTTAAGGCGAATTTCGGAATCAACTGGGTGGGTACGCATTGGTACTAATAATAAATCCATAATGGAAATAACGAGTGGCCGTCGTACCTGGCCTGCTTGAGCAGCTTGTAAATCCGATTCCCTGATCTCGTTCTCATCGAGTTCGTGAAAGTCTGCTTCTCCGTAATCTACTATTCTTGTGACACCATTCCAATTCCGAGTCGCATGCATTCTATCATTCAATCTCCATTTGATACATCTTGCGATCGCTTCAAGCTCCAACTCTGCTGCTTGGAGATCCTTGATCAAAACGGTTTGTTTTAACAGAATCACTTTTGGACAGACAAGATGGCTATGTTCAGCGTGCGATACTTCTTGCGGCGAGCCAAATATGATGCTTGATGGCAAAAAACTTGCTAAATACGGCATTCCGACTTCTAAAAGTCGTGTGGCAAGTCGCATACTTGGCATTAAGAGCTGGTAGTCCTCATCAGAGACTTCCCATCTATTGCGTGCAAACAATGGATGGACAGGGCCAGTTAAACTTGGAGCTGGTGCTCGAGGTGCCACTAGATTCATCATTTTAGACAAGCAGGACTGTAGTCAAGAATGACACTTACACATAGCTCCCCCAATTGCTAGACTTGTAGGATCCCATGGCTTTGATACTCCACCCTTCACCACACCTTGGTGTGAGTTGTCTGGGAACACTTCTGCCATAATGTCGACAACAAAATACGGATTTCAGAGACGGATTTTCACTACACTAAAATCTTGATGAAAATTTGTTAATCCAAAGCAGAGAGTGTTAGACATGTAGCAGTAGTGTTAGCATTCCTCGAGTAAGCGCATACGAGACTAAGAATGTAGATGCGATTGAGGATAAAAGAGAGATCTGATTTCATTGTTCTCCGAGAATCACAACGTTCTTTCATTTCGATTCCTTTGCAGTTTTCTTCAACGCTTCAAAGACGCTCTTTGATGGTCTTGGTCATAACAATTGCTTCCGGCCATTTTATAAGTATTCTTCCCACGTGGAAGAAAACCGATGCAAAGCAATGGTGAGAGCGAACAATTCAAACGATAAGACTCATTTAACTTCAGCGATTCTATATGAGGAAGCTTGGTAACTATTCAAGTGATGATAGCAAATTCCAAGCAGTGATGAAATTCTCGGCCGGAGATGAATGAACCTATTTGAAGTATCTCGCATCCTGCCTTCGAAATAGGTTAGTTGATCGTTGATCGATGATGGATGATTCTATCTTGAAGAAGATTCGATTGTTTCTGCCGTAGACCTTGGGCACGGATTGGTATGGTCAAGACAGCAGTCGGTACTTGATTGTGTCAATAAAGCTTGAGTTGCAATCGGGAAGAACCAGTTCCAGTTGATAGACAATCCACGGATACTCGAATTGGAGCTGAGCTAGAATTTTCAGCTGATAAGCTTCAAGACATGGTTATGTAATCTAGAATGCCGGTACTTCGAGTACATTTTGGTGCTTGGACCATCAACACGGCGAGCCTTCCTAAATGGTATTAAGTCTCACCAAGTTGTTGCTGACCATGACGGCTGTTACCACACCATCACGGTTAGCATGAAAGTGATGGACAAGGCAGAGTGGCTGTGGTCTACCAGGTCTGTCTTTCTAGCTTACTGATGGCTCAATTCCATACCGAGTAGGTACCTAGTCGTCTGCACTGTGTAGTTCATGACTTTGCCATGTACATTGTGTACACACCACATGTTCGCAATCAAAACAAGTAGTCAATCTCTTCATCATCTCTTCTAACATACGTAGCATACATAGTGTGCGTGTGTGTGTGTACCTAGGTAGGTATAAATACAATTCAAGTCTCTGATATATTCGTAACTCGGTAGCTTGCATTCGCTTTCCATTTTTTCCTCTCTCAATATCATCGACCTTGCTCCCTGCCGTTACTCCTTTCTCAACCAGGCTCTATCCTTATAACCCGAGCCCGGGGATCACGTATTTAGCTTCCATTCCATCCTTTCTGTCATGATCAAAGTCTAAGCTGTCCAAGCTGTCCAAACTAGGCTCCGGTCTAGTCTCGTTCATATAGTTTAACAATAAACAAATAACTCTTGAGTCTTGAGTCTTGAGTCTTGAGTCTTGAGTCTTGAAAACAAGCAAGACAGGTCTGACGGTCTGAGGTTCTTTCCTTCATCCAGCAGTCTTGGCAGCCCATGGAATCCAAGCTTGAAAAGGTACCCGACCACAACCCAACAATCATACCAAGACAATAGGAAAGAACACTGACAGCTTCCTTCCAAAAGCAAATGAGAAGCCATTGGTATAACATGTGGTCAACACTAAAAATCAAACATGTTCGGTTGGGTCAAGGTAGGATTGATTGATCGATCGCGTGTACGAGCTCTGTCTACAAAACTCATTTCTTATCCGCTGCGGTAATTTTCTCTCTCCGTACTTCGTAGTTAGTTCGGTTCAGTTCAGTTCAGTCTTGTTTGCACATTGCATCCATCGGATTCTCGCCCATATTTTTACCCTTATATCCTTTTCAAGTCTTGATTCCTGCCCTCTGGATTGGACGGAGTCTTCACCGACCATCAGATTTCCCCATATCCCTCCCACCTTTTTTGTCTTAAACCGTTATACCGCTGATCGATCTTCAACGTTTTTCCCTACAGCGATATTTTGTACATACATCCCTTAAATGCATAACTGCCGATGATAATAATTCCCCAGCCCCCACAGAGTCTTTACTAGAAGCTCTTCTATTGATTTACTCTTGGAAATCCCATCTGCGCTGCCTTTTTAGAGGTCAATAATGAGTTTGCCTCAGGATCTCGAGAAAGGAATATTGGCAGAGGAGAAACATGAACAGGAACATGAAAATGGAACGAAAACAGAATCAACTACATACCAATCCGATAATTCGAGAAACCCTTCGCCGCAAAATGATGGTTCTGCAAATCCCTCCATCGCCGACCGAGATTCGAATCTTGAAGCGGTCAAAACATTGGATGAAGGCAACATCGATGATCTCGAAAGGCAAAAGGTTCGAAACAACCACTCGCATTGCGCATTTTCGAAATACCTAACTAACATTCCCTTCTCATTTAGACAACCACCGAATCAATAAAAGTCGGACCATCTTGTCATCGCGCACATCCAAACTCCGACTCGAACGATAAAACCAGCACGAACTCGAAATCCTCCAGCGGTTCCAGACTCGCCCGCCTAGCCCATCGATCTCATACTCCGCGCGCCAAACTTCCACCGCGACCTATTCCAATCTCCAATCTCGCAAACGGTATCGTAGGATGGGAAAGCCAGAACGATCCCGAAATGCCTCTGAATTTTCCGGAAACCAAGAAATGGGTGCTGACGGGTTTACTGGCGAGCATTACTTTTATATCTCCGCTCGCTTCTAGTATGTTTGCGCCCGGTGTAACATTTGCAGACAAGGAGTTCCATAATTCCAGTTTGATATTGAGCTCTTTCACCGTGAGCATCTTTGTCTTGGGATATGTCGTTGGGCCATTAATACTTGCGCCTTTGTCTGAGATGTATGGGAGAAGATATGTTCTTACGGGTGGTAATATAATATTTTGTGTATGGCAGATTGGGTGTGCATTGGCACCTAGCTTGAGTACATTGATAGGATTTCGATTTATGGCTGGATTGGGTGGTTCGGGTTGTTTGACCATCGGTGCTGGAATGATTGCGGATTTATTTCATGCGGATAGGAGAGGATTGGCGACTTCACTTTTCAGTCTGGGTCCTTTGTTTGGTCCTGTTATTGGTCCAATAGCTGGAGGTATTTTCTCCATTCCTTATACTCATCAAATTACAGTACATCTAATCATTCTCCAGGTTTCGTAGCCCAAAGAATCGGCTGGCGTTGGGTGTTTTGGATTCTTTTCATTGCCGGGACCATCATAACTATCGGTATCGAATGTCTCAACGTAGAAACCAACCCACGTCTCCTTATAAAGCGCAAAGTAGCGCGTCTCTCCAAAGAACTCAATCGATCTGATCTCCGCAGCGTATACGATCCAAGTAATTCAGCACATCATTCAAACGCTTCTGTTCTAGCAAATGCCATGATTCGACCCCTGAAAATGTTAATTTTTAGTCCTATTGTGTTTATTCTGAGTTTGTATATGGCTGTTGTTTATGGGCTTTTGTATTTATTGTTTACTACTATTACGACTGTTTTTACGGATAAATATCATTGGGCGCCAGAATTGGGTGGATTAGCCGTGAGTATATCTCTTCATCTCTTTCGCCTCCAAAATCTCCCTCCTCCCTTGTACGGCCAATCTAACTGTCAGCTAGTACATAGGTCTAGGTTTTGGTTTCTTCCTTGGTCTCGTAGTAGTAGCTCGTATCTCGGACGTTACGGTAGTCCGCATGACGAAAGCAAATAACGGAATCTTTGAGCCTGAAATGCGATTACCGGCTTGTATATTTTTTGCTTGTTTTATACCGATTAGTTTTTTCTGGTATGGTTGGAGCATTGAGGGTGGCGTTCATGTAAGTACTCCTTTTCCTCCCTAACCTCTCACTCCCCTTCAACCTTTCTCAAAGAGTCTAACATCCCCTCCAGTGGATCGTTCCCATAATCGGCCTCATCCCCTTCGGTTTCGGTATGATGGGAATCTTCATTCCCATTCAAACATACGTCATCGACAGCTTTCCATCCTTTGCTGCGTCAGGAATCGCAGCATTAACAGTATCACGATCCTTATTCGGAGCATTTTTACCACTTGTAGGACCGGCTATGTATGAAAATTTAGGGTATGGATGGGGAAATAGTGTTTTGGGATTTATTGCACTGGCGTTAATCCCGGCGCCGATGATTATTTACAAGTTTGGAGGGAGGGTGAGGAAAAGGTTTCCTGTTAAGCTTTAAGAGGATAGGGCAGAAAAAGAGGAGGAACTTGAGGAAACAGAGAAACGAAAAATAATAAAAAGTGTGTGTGTATTTGATATACAACAAAACGCAAACACACATGACGCGACGGAACAAAACAGAAGTAATAATACCTTATAACGAGAAATCATGAGAGGAGATGAAAACGAGATGGAGCGAAACATCCATCAACCTTACAAAATATCACCCCCACACACATAATTTCGAAAAAATTAGCGAGCATAAGCGATGGAGTTACGATATTCATTGGTTATTATTTAGTTAGGAATTGGCTGTTTATATTGTTATTATTCAATGGGTACTTACTGGTTGGTTCAGGTTAGGTCGGAATTGATTGATTGATGCGCTTGGTGCGTTTGGAGATTACTTACTAGGTATGAAAAGGAGGGAATTGGAATTTTGGGGGATTTGAGTACTTTTTGAGTTTGAATATTGAGTACTTTTTGAGCACTCGTTGAGTATTGATTGGTTAATGAAGGTTTCTTATGATATGATTGTGTTGATTGGAGTTGGAAGAGGATTGAAGGTTGAAGGTTGAAGATTGAAGATTGAAGATTGAAGATTGAGGATTGAAGGTTGAAGGTTGAAGATTGAAGATTGAAGATTGAAGATTGAAGATTGAAGATTGAAGATTGAAGGATGGATCTTTCTTTCTTGATGGTTGGGGGTTGGGGTTAGAATGAGCGAGGGTGAGTGTGAATGGGTGAAAGGGGGATATGAGACACGAGGGAAGGGCACAGGAAATGGTATGTAGATTATCTGCAGATGCGCATGTGGGAGTAGGAGCGCGCGCAATG